ACTGCACCAAAACACTCTCATCCTCCTCATCTTCTTCAACCTATTTCAGGTCTATAAGTAGTTTTAATTCTGGTCTTACAAAGTGGAAGAATAGAAACTCTAAACCTAAATACCCAGGTAAGTTCTTTCATGATGTTATATTCTTATATCCGAAAATTAGAAACATTTTAGGATTATTTTTAACATTTTAAACTTTGAAAATAGTCTAGCTAGGAAAAAGTTGCAATCACACTAATATTGAAGAGAAGGCTAAGAATTCTTGTTGTTTTTCATTTTTTTCTAAAAGCGAATCTGTTCACCCTATAACACTTGGTTCAGTTCACCCAGTTGTTGGTTGAATCGGCCAATGACCCGATTTCTCGAGATGGGTTCCTAGTTTTTCTGGGGGAACCGAATAATATTGCTTACTATATAGTTGAGTATTGTTTAGTCCAATTACGACATGTTGAAAGCGTAAATTGGTAATGTTGGAAAAAATAAATAAATTGAAGGGTTGACTTTAGCATCAATTTTGAGTGGACCCGTTTGTTTATTTTGAAAGATTTTTCACACACGCTTAATTGCACAAATTATTTCGCACATGCTTAATTGCACCATACTTTTGAGAATCTTTTTGCAATTTGATTTTCTTGCGACTAATCTTTATATAAATAGACTCTAAATTTCTCTTCAGCAACGGGTACTAACACAGATAGATTTTCATGAGCAGCATGGCAGAATCCGAGGTGCACTTGAAGCTATTGATTGATACAAAAAACAAAAGGGTTTTATTTGCTGAAGCTGGAAAAGACTTTATTGATTTCATATTTCACATTCTTGCTATGCCGTTAGGTACTGCTATTACGTTACTCGGCAAACAAGAAATGGTGGGCTGCTTGGGAAATCTCTATGAAAGCGTTGAGAATTTGAACGATACGTATATATTACAGGGCAAGAACAAGGAGATATTCTTGAAACCAAAGGCTCCGAATGCATTTTATTCTGTGCCTTTAGCACTGCTCACTGATAAACCAACTGACAAAACCTGCTATATATGTGATCACTGTAGTGCCAATTATCAATCCATTTTTACAGATGATCCAAATAAACCTTGCCAAAGATGCTCCAGAGCAATGACCAGAGCTCTTAGTTATGTTGCTCCTCCACAAAAGAAAGATGGGCCAAATGAAGGTTTTGTGAAAGATGCAGTGACTTACATGGTAATGGATGATCTGGTTGTAAAGCCTTTGTCGACTGTATCCAGCGTTGCTTTGCTTAACGAAAATAATGTTAAGGAATTGGCTACACTCCAAGAAAAGGATGTACAGTTTGGGATGAATGAGGTACGTCGAACCACCCATCTAAAAAATTGGGGTGTTAGGTAAGTTCCAAATTTTAATTATTAGATTGTGTCTCAGTTTGCTCCCACATGTGCAAGCCAAGTTAAATTTTCGTAATGCCTAACCACCTATCTAAAAGCTTAACATATTAGAGGGGTCCACTTCGTCTATTTTACATTCTATTTTCAATTAACAAAGATGGTTAGATCAATACTCACATGGCCAGTCTGTTATAATTGCTAAGGATCACTTGTTTTAGATCCTTCAATAGATCTAGCAACAGAGAGAATGACCAAAAAAAAAGATTCATGTAATTGTCCCTGAAGTTATTGAGATAAATGCTTAATTTGGAGCTGTTGTAGTTCAACAAGGTTACAGTGTCAATGTTCTTGATTTTGAGTCATTTTCTTGCAGAAATCGCAATTTCGTTTTCCCCTGTTTTCGGGTACACAATTGATTTTGAATCTTATTTTTCTTTAGGCTGTGAAGCTTTTGAAGGCATCTCTACATGCAAGCAATGTTCTAACCATTGTTTTCCTGAATGATGAATGTGACTACCAGAATGTTCCTATTTCCACAAAAGTTGAAGATTGATGAAAGGGTTGGGTCCAGTGCTCGGCTTGCTCAATATCGTGCTGTGCTTGGCTCGGCCCATCATGCGGGTCGGCACGAGTCACCTACGTGGCCAGTCAAGCTCGACCTGGATCACTTCATCAAAGGTGGCTTGGCTCGTCCCTTGGTGGGGCGAATCGAGTAAGCTTGTGAGTCGCTTTTATGTTATGATTCATTAATTAAAATGTTAATTGTACTCTCTCATTTCATGGTATAATGAAGACGTGAGGAAACTATATTTTTGTCAAAATAATTATTTAAGTGAGAAGGATATGAGAAACGTAAAAAATAATATTTGACGAAGTATTATAATGTTGTAAAAAATCCTCTATTCGAGGTTGAGATCAGCTATAATACGTGTGAAGTTGAAACTATACACGAATGAATATTATATGTACAAAATTTTAAAATAATCAAATAAATAAAATAATAACGATTAAAGAAACAAAATATACTTACAATTTTACGTTATTAATATAAATTACACTTTGAAAAGATGTTGAAAGGCCATCTTCATCGTCTTGAAACCATTGATGCATACAAACATATGTTTCTATTCAAGTTGTAATATTGTCCAATCACGTGATACATCTCAATCTAATATATGATCTCCTACAGATCTTATGTCTACTGATAAAATCATGGTACTTGGAACATGTCTCGAACTATACTGAACAATATGGTGGGAGATAATGGTTAGACACAAAATTGATTACACCAACATATGCTAGTGCCACTTCATTTGGTGCTCAGGAAATTAATTTCACACGTGTGTGTATATATATATTGTGACACTACGTATTGAATCTAGACATTGTATTTGAAGATTTTCTCTTCTTATCAAGTAAATTTTATACATTTTAATGTTAAATAAGGTAATCAGATATTTTCTCTTCTTATTAAGTAAATTTTATACGTATATGAATTCACATACGCATAAAATATTTAGTCAATTATGTTAACTTCTATATATAAAGATTCTTTTTCCTAATACATGTTTGGTAATTAATTTTTATATCACATCATATCTGTATGATAATTAATGTTTTTAACCAAATTAAATATGTTACGGGTTAAAGGACAGAATGGACACGTGGCGTCACATCACGACGATGGGACCAGCTT